ACCTCTGTATGGCCCTGGTAAACGATGAGCCAGACATAATCCTCTTGACAGAGATAATTCCAAAGGCACAGGTTCACCCCATTTCACCTGCAGTCCTTGCTATTCTGGGATATAATCTTTACTTGAACTTTGATCCAGGAAAGGAGAACCTTGGCAGCAGTGGGTACAGAGGGATTGGCATATTCGTCAAAACTTCCATCAGGACTACCAAGCGCTCTTTCCCAGGCTGCAATCAAATCGAGCATCTGTGGCTGGAGATCCCTCTGCGAAACCCAAATCGCCTCCTCATTGGATGTATTTACCGTAGCCCATCTGCCCACGGACCGTCTTCTACGTCTGAGTTACTGGAGCTCATCACTAGCTGCACATCTGACAGAAACACCCAAGTGTTGATTGCTGGGGACATCAACTACCCCCAAATCGACTGGACTCACAACTACTCCACTGCCCCTGAGGGCCATCATACACACCAATTTATGGAAGGGCTGCAAGACTGTGGCTTCACACAACATGTCACCAGGGACACACGATACAGGGAAGGCAACAGGTCTAGCGGATTGGACATTATCCTGAGTAACGAGAAGGGGCTAGTCAAAAACCTTGTCTACCACCCACCCATAGGACACAGCGACCATGTGGTACTGAGGTTTGAGACCGTGCACTGTGACCAGGGAAGCGAACCAAGGGAGCCCCGGCTGAACCTCAACAAAGGGAACTATGCGCTCCTGAATGATCGGATCAGGGAGACTGTCTGGGAAGTGCCCGATCCTCCGGACCCGCGCACCAGATACGAGTACTTCAAAAGGACGTTGGATCTTCTGACGACTCAGTGTATCCCCAGGTCTTGCCCAACTAATAAGAGACGCAATATCTATATGGACAGGGAAGCTATGCGATTGAAAAAGCTGAAGCGGAAGTTGTGGATCCAGTACACCCAATCCATGGACGACATCTGCCTTGCACGTTACAAGCGATGTAGCAACGACCTGAGACGGCTCACCCGCAATCTAAGGAAGGAACTGGAGAGGAAGCTGGCGGCTGACCTGAAGGCAAACCCAAAGGCGTTCTGGCGGTACTCGGCCTCAAGAACCAAGAGCAGGGCCGGCGTTGAGAACCTCCGCACAGAGTCGGGTCAGCTTACAGCAAACGACGAAGAGAAGACCGCGGTGCTGAACGCATTCTTCAGCTCGGTCTGCATCGAGGATGACCTTCGGCCGATGCCGCACGCCGGGGACGCGTACAGGGGACCAGTAGTAGAGGACGTTGACATCTCAGAGGACCTGGTAAAACAGAAGCTCGCCCAGATCAAGACCTCCTCAGCCGCTGGACCTGACAGCATTCATCCAAGGGTACTCCACGAGACGAGAGACTCAATATCAGCTCAACTAGCAGCCATGTACCGAGAGTCGCTCGATACAGGGATCCTTCCAGAGGACTGGACGTCGGCCAACGTGGTCCCCATTTACAAGAAGGGCAGCAAGGACGACCCCAGCAATTACCGACCAGTCAGCCTGACGCCAGTGCCCTGCAAGGTGCTGGAAGCCATCATCAGGGACAGGCTGATGGAGCACCTGCAGGCAGACGGCCTGATTACTGAAGCCCAGCATGGATTCCGGCCGGGCAGGTCCTGCGTCACGCAACTGCTACTCTCAGCAGAGGACTGGAGCCGTGCTGCAGAACGTGGTGACCCCATGGACATCATTTATCTTGATCTGGCCAAGGCTTTCAACACTGTATCAATCCGCAGGCTTCTCCACAAGGTGGCTGCACATGGAATCCGTGGGAAGCTGCTACGATGGATAGAGGCCTTCCTGACGGGGCGAAAGCAGCGGGTTACGATCGGCAGTTCCTGCTCGGAATGGACCTCAGTCCCAAGTGGAGTCCCGCAAGGATCCGTGTTGGCACCTACATTGTTTGTCCTATATGTTAACGACCTGCCAAATGTCCTAAGCTGCGGTGTCAAGGTCTTTGCCGACGACAGCAAATTGTACCAGGTCGTCGGTGACCATGAGGACGCGCGGGCTCTCCAAGCGAACCTGGACGCTGTGACACAGTGGGGTGAGGATTGGCAACTGCAATTCAACGACACGAAGTGCAGGGTCCTCCACGTCGGTCGTCACGTCCACCGGCACGACTACCTTTTGAACGGTGAAGTCCTGCAGACGGCGACAGAGGAAAAGGACCTAGGAGTGATTGTTGACGCGGAGCTGAAGTTTAGGAGGCAAGCAGCGGCAGCGGTCAACAAGGCATCTCGAGTGATGGCCGTGATAAGACGGTCATTCAGCCTGCTGGACAAGATGACCCTGCCAATCCTGTTCAAGACGCTTGTGCGACCGCTCCTGGAGTACGGTAACATTGTCTGGGGGCCATTCAATCGAGCGGATCAGCTCCTCATCGAACGAGTCCAGCGCCGAGCGACTAAGCTGGTCCAGGAAGTACGTCACCTACCGTACCAGGAAAGACTGAAGTCTATGAAGCTGCCTTCCCTCCACTACCGACGTCGACGCGGCGACATGATCGCTGTCTACAATGTGCTGCATGGGAGACTGGACCTGAATCCGGAGGAGTTCTTCAACCGAGTAACGACCAGAGATACAAGAGGACACTCCTGGCGTCTTGCGAAGCCCCATGCCGTCACCCGCATCCGTCGAAACGCGTTCGCAGTCAGTCATTAACGACTGGAACAGCCTACCATCATCCGTCGTAGACGCCGACTCTCTAAACTCGTTCAAGAACCGGCTCGACACTCACTGGAGACACCTCCACTTCACCCCGCCCCTACCATACGAACAGTAACACTGTCAAACACGAACTCGACTGGAGCGGACACTACAGGCCTTGGGCCTCTCAAAATTTTCCGTGCATCTTAAGTAAGTAAGTAAGTAAGTATATGCTGTTTTTGGTCGAAAACTCAGAAAACATGACGTCACTAAAACCTCGATATCTCAAAAAATTTCGGACCGATTTTTTTTAACTTTGTCACAATATACTTCAATCAATTCCCGACAGGTAGCCAGATTTTGGCAAGCCTGCGGCGCGCCGTTTTTATGCTATAGCGCGGCGAAAAAAGTGAGGGCGTTTAACGCCTCCACTCTCCCCCCCCCCCCAGCAACTCGCGGGCTAAGAAGCAAGACAATCTGATATTTTCCCTTTTGAATTATTATATAGCCATTAGCCACCTTTCATAATAGTTCGTACAAATTTTTGGAGCATTCCAGTCACTGGTTTTCCAGCACAGTGGGTTTCATGTAGAGCAGCGCCTTACTAACCTGTGCCCACAGTTGGGCGGCGCTGGTGGCGGGTGTCCCCCCCCCCCCCCCATTCATCTCCTGATGGACAATAGTCCATAAGATATCGATGGAATTGTGATGGGAGCTATTTCCAAGCCATAGCCCGTTAGCCCAGAAGAAAAATAGGTCCTCTCGGCATCACTGCTCATTCTGCTAGGGACCTGAAGTGGTGTACAGCCCCGCATGAAGACTGCGCGGCTTGAATTAGGCATCAGTACACGTTCAGAAACCGAGCCCCTGTGCCGTCTGGTTGAGTGACTCCAACCAATCGCTAACCAAGATGTTGCGCCGGTAATACTCGTCACTCACTGATAGTGGTTTTCTGTGGCGTCACGAACAGCTTGAATATTACACAGCAGCTGAACATGCTCCAGGTCTGGATTTGGGCCGGATGTTTGACGCCGACGACGGCCGGCACGACCCGGCCGATTTGACGGCTCAACAAATATCGCAGCTCGAACAGCTTCCCATCCGACCAGGCCACCTCATTCATGTCTTCCTTCGACCAGTGGACACGCTCTGGCCTGAGGCCAAAGGTGGTGGACTGGTTGTTTTCCCGTCAATTTCATTGTCTTTTTCAGTTTGAAGGGCAGTAAAACCAAGCTAAAGGGCGGGTAACGGTGAATCATGACGTGGGACCTCTTATTATCTGCCTTGGTAAGAATTCGAGTCAGTCTGCGGATCGACTGGCGCCGTTTTCTTGTCGCTATCTTAACAACTCTCCTCACCACTTGGCAAAGGGCGCCCTTTGCGATCGAGGCCGGGCTGAGTCTGCCACCAAGTCCCAGCCTATTACGCCTCAGGCAGATGTGCTACTGGCTGCTGCTGATGTCCAGCTGCTGACAGACTAGCTTCTGGTTCATGCCACCATGCCACCAACACGTAGCCTTACTGCGAAACGAGAGACTACTCCCTTCTCTCCATTGCCTTAAACGAAAACTATCAAATGAGCCCGTCGGCGACTTGACTCTTACTCAGAGCAAGAGTCATTTCGCATGGTCAGGTCACTGCTGAGTTGAGAGCAGATACAAGAGGTATGCATTCATCCAATTTTCCAGCTTCTAACATTAAAAAAGAAACTGTGCGAGCAGATATAGCGAAAAATAGATGTCCGGATAATTTCGTTACACCCTGTAAAGGGACACCTGTCGGTCGGACGCCGGTCGGTCGGTCACAGACACCGAACAGAAGGGATACCGGTCGGTCGGTCAGGGACACCGGACTGAAGGGATACCGGTCGGTCGGTCAGGGACACCGGACTGAAGGGATACCGGTCGGTCGGTCAGGGACACCGGACTGAAGGGACACCGGTCGGTCGGTCAGGGGTACCGGACTGAAGGGATACCGGTCGGTCGGACAGGGACACCGGACTGAAGGGACACCGGTCGGTTGGTCAGGGGTACCGGACTGAAGGGATACCGGTCGGTCGGACAGGGACACCGGACTGAAGGGATACCGGTCGGTCGGTCGGTCAGGGACACCGGACTGAAGGGATACCGGTCGGTCGGTCGGTCAGGGACACCGGACTGAAGGGATACCGGTCGGTCGGTCGGTCAGGGACACCGGACTGAAGGGACACCGGTCGGTCGGACAGGGACACCGGACAGAAGGGACACCGGTCGGTCGGTCGGTCAGGGACACCGGACTGAAGGGACACCGGTCGGTCGGTCAGGGACACCGGACTGAAGGGACGCCAGCCGGTCTGCTCACCGCGAGGTCGCGCTGCAGCCAGCGGTACTGGTTGCCGGCCATCTTCAGCCCGTAGTTGAGGTAGTAGTAGTACTCCGAGGACACCGACACGAAGTGCACCGGGCCCATGTCGAAGCTGTAGAACATGTTGTCGCCGTCGCGCGGCATGGTGAAGCGGTTCTTGTAGTTGGAGAAGTTGCTGAAGCATGGGGCGGGTTGAGACCGGTCTGAGGCACTCCGGCTGGAGCTGCGCGTCGGGCGATTTCGACACAGCAGGGCTGCTGGCTACTCATCGTACAGAGACGCGGCAGGCCAGCGGAGCCATGGACAGTGCATCCCTGAACAGACCCTAGCACACAAAAATACTAAGCATATGACAATGCAAGAGCTCTAGGGAATTGTGAAAAATACGTTAAAAAGTCCTGGCTATAAGATCTCCAGATCCAGTGAAGTCAACTTCAGATCAAGGGAAACCGAAGCGAAGCCAGCCAAATACCAACCAGAATCAAGAAAAATACTTCAAACGGATTCAAGCATCAAGTAAGAATATTGAGAAAATATAAACAAATTAAAAAATCCTAGAATTTAAGATACATGTTTATTGTTTGGGGATACCCAATTCAATACTAATTGTCTTGGAATTGGTATGCCACAGAGTTGCTATCGGACTGACGACCCCAGCCAAAAGTAGAACAAACGAGTCATCCACGAGCCCCAGCTAGTCGGGACTGCGCCGGGACAGGGCGTGTCTCGAGTATTTCTGAACGGTGGCTGCTTTGCTCAGTCAGTCACGGTCTTTGAGTCAGCCGGGGTGTCAGCCAGGGTGTCAGCCGGGGTCTCTGTGTCAGCCGGGGTCTCTGTGTCAGTCGTGGAGTCAGCCGGGGTGTCAGCCAGGGTGTCAGCCGGGGTCTCTGTGTCAGTCGGGGGTGTCAGCCAGGGTCTCTGTGTCAGCCCGGGTCTCTGAGTCAGCCGTGGTGTCAGCCGGGGTCTCTGTGTCAGCCGGGGGTGTCAACCGGGGTCTCTATGTCAGCCGGGGTCTCTGTGTCAGCCGTGGAGTCAGCCGGGGAGTCAGCCGGGGTCTCTGTGTCAGCCGGGGGTGTCAGCCGGGGTCTCTATGTCAGCCGGGGTCTCTGTGTCAGCCGTGGAGTCAGCCGGGGAGTCAGCCGGGGTGTCAGTCAGCCAGGGTGTCAGCCGGGGTCTCTGAGTCAGCCTGGGAGTCAGACGGGGTCTCTGAGTCAGCCGTGGAGTCAGCCAGGGTGTCAGCCGGGGTCTCTGAGTCAGCCGGAAGAGTCAGCCAGGGTGTCAGGTCTCTGTGTCAGTCGTGGAGTCAGCCGGGGTGTCAGCCAGGGTGTCAGCCGGGGTCTCTGAGTCAGCCGGAAAAGTCAGCCAGGGTGTCAGGTCTCTGTGTCAGCCGGGGTGTCAGCCAGGGTGTCAGCTGGTGAGTCAGCCGGGGTGTCAGCCGGGGAGTCAGCCGGGCGGCGCTCGGGCCGGGGGAGCTGCCGCGCGGCCGCCAGGGCCCGGTCCGCGCACTCACTAGCGCTGCTCGTGGTTGCCCGGGCAGGTCATGTAGGGCAGGTAGCCGGCGATCGGCTGCAGCTGACGCATGAACTCGTCGCCCACCTGGGCGTTGTCCGAGTCCATGTCGTAGGCGAAGTCTCCGACGTGCAGTACGGCGTCATACAGGCCCTGCTGCACGTCTCGCTGCAGCCTGGAGGTGCCGGCAGACAGCACAGTCACGCGGTGACAGGCGGCCTACACAACGCGGCCCAGTGGCGCCAACAGGCGGCCAGTGCGTGCCGCCGCTCTCATCGACGTTCTAACCCAGCCAGACGCAGTCGGAGTACACCGTCGAAGGCATGGCACGTGAGCTTAATCACATGACCACAGCTTACAATGACAAAATGTAACTAAAAGAGCGCGCCTGAAAAGTTAGCGTCACGGTAACGCTTAACAACAATATGTATAAGGTAAGCCACGCGTCTTCGGGAAAATTCAGAAAAAAGTTAGCTGGAGACACATACAGCGTAATATAAGGCGTCATGGTTTTGAATTTCACACAGATGGACCAAAAACAAGCTGAGTGTCTAGGTTAGAACATTGTCGTAAAATTATTTCGCTGCGCTGGTTGGATTTCCGCAAAGATTACCAGATTAACCTTCCAGGCGGTGGCGGGGGACATTCCCCCCTTTAGTTTTTTTCGATATAGGTATCTCCAGAACCACTGCGCCGATCGTCACCAAACTTTCAGTACCCACCCTCCCGGGAAAAGCTTTTACACATTGTCACCAATTTTTTTCCAAAGGCTTTGATAGGCTGGCCGCTAATGACGTCAAGTGACGTCATTTTTGCCATCTTCGACCCAAAAAAGGTTTTGCGGGAAGAGCTGTCAGTCTCGCCTACAGCTTTAGAGACACAGAAAAAATGTTTTTGACATGAAAGGTGTAGAATTAACAGGGTTATAAAACTGCTATCTCGGATTTTTTGACTTTTTGGATTTTGACCCCCAAACATAAAGAAATCAATTTTTTGAATATAATAGCAAAAAATCATTAAGTTTTTTTTTAATTTCGAAAAAACGGAATATATGTGATAGTCCCTGCCACCTTCTATCCACATCCCAAATTTGAGATCGAAGCTCTTTTTTGGCCAAGTCATAGTGAAAAAAAACTGTTCAAAATTGATGACGTCAAATTTTCAAACTCAATTTTTAGCCCTTCTAGACCACGTACCCAGGGGCGTAGGCAGGGGGGGGCCACTGGGCCATGCCCCCCCCCCCTTGGGCGCCGAAGGCGCCCTTTGCGATTGGGGGGCGCCGAAGGCGCCCTCCAATCGCAAATGCAATTGTGATATAATCGAATCGAAAAACAATCGCGACTGGAAGGCGCCCTCCAATCGCGAATGTGTTTACAGGGAAAATACGGATGGAGGGCGCCCTCGGAGGACGCCCATTCCAAATACGCCCTCCAAATACGGTTGGAGGGCTCCCTCGGGCGCCCTCCAACCACATTTGTAGGCTGTAGCTCTCTAAGCGTAACGGTGGTCGCCTATGTAAGCCGCTGTCCTGTAAATAAGCGCCCTCTCACCCGAAGGCGCCCTCCTGTAGGTCGCCACCCTGCTACACATTGCCGCCCTTCTGCTGATCGGCGTCCTCATAATTATTGGCGCTCTCCTACCTATTGAGCCCTCATGTGAAATTTTGAAGGCCGCCTTTCTCCCTTTTGGCACCCTCTTGTTCAGTGCCGCCCTCCTACCTATTGGTTCCCTAGTCCTTCCTGTTGAATGTTAATCGGGGCCCTTCTCCTATTGGCGCCCTCGTGTAGATCGCCGCCCTCCTAACCACTGGCACCCTCCTGTTGATCACCGCCCTCCTATCCACTGGCACCTTCCTGTTGACCAGCGCCCTCCGCACAGACGCCCTCCTGTTCGTGTCATCCTCTTGAGCAAAGGCGCCCTCCTCACCATTGCCACCCCCATTTTAATCGTCACCCTTCCGCTCATTGGCGACTTCCAGTTGATGACCGCCCTCCCACCTATTGGCGACCTCTTGTTGATCGCCACCCTCCTATTGGTGCTCTCCTGTTCCTCGCCACCCTCTTACCTGGTGGCGCCCTCCTGTTAATTGTTGATCGGCGCCCTCCTACCTATTGGTGCCCTCCTGTTGATCGCTGCCCTTCTATCCATTGGCGCCCTCCTGCTGCTCGCCAACTTCCTACCTATCGGTGCCCTACTGTCGAAACTCGGGATGTTGATCGGGACTCTTCTACCTATTAGTGCCCTCCTGTGGATCGCAGCCCTTCTACCTATTGGCAACATCCGTTGATCGCTGCCCTCCTATCATTTATTTACTCCTTTGGCATGTTTTTCAACTTAGTCGTTCTATTGCACATAGTTGATGTCTTGCCTGTGAAAACTGCCACAAATGAACGTGCATTCAGCACAATGAATGAAGTATCTATACCTACCAAAACTATCTACGCTCTACGATGCATAAAACACGTCTTTGGTCTTAACGTATTGATCCTACTTTACGTGCATCATGGCATCTATATGGATTACGATTAAGTATTGTCAACAGGTTCGGGCGCAACAGCAGGCATCTGAAGTTTCGGTGATTGAAACTGGTTATGTGGGTACACTGTATGCATCTGTGAGAAGGCTATGAAGGCTGGTCTGAGGTAATTTGGATGATGTTTACGCATCTCGCGCTCCGGTATCAATCCGATACGGTGATCTGGTGCGTAGATATGCCACCGCCAATAAACTTTTATACATCGACACCCATGAGCCAAGCTTTCTGTACAGTTTGTGTGGCAGCGGCCCGACCAAACCTTAGGTATTTTTTACACCTTCAAATTTGGTAAAAGAGCGAGAGGAGCTTTGAACAGTGATCGTATAAAAGGCGTGCCTAAAAAGCGGAGGAAAAGGTTGTTTTCAAAAATTTCGCGCGCCTTCGGCGCAGCATTTCAAGAACACTTGACCTTTTGTGACCTGGAGTATAAAGAATACACACGATGCAAAATCAATGCAGCACGACCTATACGAGGTTACGCAAAAAAAAAAAAACTGGTGGCATGGTAAAAAACGCCTCCCAACCCCCCAACCCTCACTGAGCGATTTTTTATCTCGCGACCGTATGGCGCCCTCCTTGGGTGAGGTGGCGCCCTCCAAACCCTTGGCCCCCCACTTCGCGATTTTCTAAATACGCCGCTGCACGTACGGCAAAACAAAGACCACCATTAGACTCGCCGTGACAAGCTGCATCGAATCCCTAGCGGTGACCTTGACCTCCGCGGTCTGTTGCGGCTCCAAAGCCAAGCCGGCGTCGAATTTGGAGAGCTCGGGCCCTCCCAGCTCGGCACAAAGTTCCATCTATGCAACACATCAAGTCATCCTAGTTTTGATCCCGGTTGCGACCTTCCGCAAGCAAAAGATGCGCAATTGAATTGCTTATGCATGTCGTTCGCTCTCAGAGTTCAGATAGGATTCCGCCCTGATTTTGAGGGGGCAACTGTGATGAAGGGTCGGCATGACATAAGGAAGCGGCACTGTGCCGAGGGGCGGCATCACCAGAAATAGGCGTCATTGTGCTGAGGGGCGGCAGCGGCACTGTCTCAGACGGCGGCTCTTGACTAATTGGTGACATCCCATCGATGGGAGGCATTGAGGTGGGGTTTAGCATTGTGCGGAGACGAGGAATTTTTGTGAGAAGCAGCACAATGCTGAGAGGAAACACATCGAGGGGCGGCACTGTGCCGAAAGGAGGCTCTAAGGCAATGGGCGGCACTGTGCAGTGTGCTCATGGGGCGGCATTGCTGTGAATAGACGGCACCGCAATTGGGAAGCGACAAGTTGTCCAGGGGCAGCATCACATTTAGAGGCGGTGCTTTGCTGGAGGGCGGCTCTCGACTAAACAGTAGCATCCCATCAGGGGGCGGTAGCGGTAGCGGCGGCAACACCAGCGCCTTGCTGGGGAGGTGTTTGAACACCCCCTTACGGTCTTCGCGAATATCTTTATAAAACGCGGCACCTGGCACCGGTTTTTGGTACACCTTATTATTCGTCTTTTCCACATGTTGTTAAAATCTCAGACCCAGCTATTTTCAGGTCAGGTCACCACGTCACGTCACGTGACTTCCCTTCAGAAAACGTCATAATGCTCGCCAGAGCACAACGGCTTAATGATCGCTTTGAAACTTTCAGCGATTGATGACAGTAACATTACCTATGTATGAAATGCTTATCTTGGAAATTGGATATATGTATGTCACCTAAGACTAGATGCCGGCAGCGCTCTTGCGTTGCCTTGGGCCAGAATTGGAGGAACGGTACTGAGGGCACACACCGGGCCAAACCACCGAAACCCAGACTGAGCTGACTGAGCAGCTTGGACTGAACCGACTGAACCTGAAACCAGCCGAAACATCCCAAAAATGTTTGGAAACACGTGAGATTGGTATGGATATCTACCTACAGGAAGATATGAATTAACTGCACGTGCATAGTTCATGTCCCAGGCACCCCAGTGCAATCATTTTCATAACATACTGTAGCGTGTGTCTAGTTCTATCAGTGTACCGACTTTTGTGTCGCTAGCTCGACGTTTCCCGTGATCAGAGGATCCATCGTCAAAACCGTTAACCGCCCCCCGCACGCGCAGCTTGCACCCCTCGGATATTATCTCGCCGGAATGTCATGACTCAATGCATTCTTCTTATGACCTGTAAGTTTTGAACCAGTTAGAGCTGTCGTTTACCCTGCAGGCGTGGCAACGTATGAAGGGGTACAATCGGCTTGCACGTGCATAGCTCATGCACCACAGAGTTTAGCTGAACCAAATGAACACTATTTTGGAGGTCTTGCCTGGGACTACGATTGAACCGATTTTGAAGTTGATAGCTCAAAATTTCTTTGAGCCAGAGGACCTCAGGTCAAAACGGTTTTCCGCCCCCAGCACGTGCAGCCTTCACCCCTCGCAGACGGTGACCCCCCTGAAAAATGGTTCAAGGTGTTACCGATGTGTCCCGCCAGTGTGGCTTTGTCCGTGACCTCGGGTTGACCTGCAGCCTTGACAAAAAAATTCGTGTCACCGAAACTTTGAAGCGAAATATATCGTGTGCCACGAAGCACGGAGCGAACCGAGGCCAGCACCAAAAGTTTACCTCGCCGGAGACGAGTCGAACGGACCCACTTTCGTCCCGATCGGTTCACCCATTTTGATTGCGTCAAAATATGAACTTCGTAGCTACCATAGGTCGGCCGGAAATGACATCAGAGTGACGTCATGTTCGGCCGATTTCGACGCAAAACATTGAACCACGGCAATCGCTCCCAAGAGCTCAGTTTTTAAGCTAGATCCAATTTCTTCGCATGAGAGGACTAAGAATAGACTGCGCTATCAAACTGCTATCTGGGATTGTCAAAATATTGAAAATTTTGAAAATTATATATAAAAAATTTAAAATCAAAGTACAAGTTTGGTACCCTCAGGGTATCTAAAGCATCTGTTCACGAGTGTGTAAACCAAAAATGAGCCTGATCTGACTTGTAAGACGGCGGCCAGAGCCCAAAAGGTGAACAAGCCAAAATGCTAATAATTTTTACTTTGACCTGACCTGAGACGTCATCGGTGACCTCGAGGTCAATGACATTAGATTTCGTTCAACAGTTTTTCCGAGGCTATCAGACGCCGTTTGAATTTTGACGATCAGCCCAGTGGTTTCGGAGTTAGGAGGGGGGGGGGCGACATGAAGAGCCCCCCCGCCCCCCCCCCCCCCAGTGTGGCGCGTTATACGCAGAAAGGTGAAATGCTCTGCTTATGAATGGGAACACACTCAAACATCAGGCATGCTATGTACGGTGAAGGGGAGGCGTCACATTCAGGGGCGGTTTCGCAAAGTGGGCAGCTGCAGCTTAACCTTCCAGGCGGTGGGGGGGGGGTTGCCCCGCCTTTAGTTTTTTTCAATATATCTCCAGAACCGCTGCGCCGATCGTCACCAAACTTTCAGTACCCTCCCATGAATAGCTTTTGCACATTGTGACCAAATTTTTTCCAAATGCTATGATAGGTTGGCCGCTAATGACGTCACGGTCAGAGTGACGTCATTTCTGCCATTTTCCACCCAAAAAAAGCTTCGCGGGAAGAGCTGTCAGAACTACAGCTTTAGAGATACAGAAAAATGGCTCGACATAAAAGGTGCAGAATAGACAGGGCTACAAAACTGCTATCTCGGATTGCATCGAATCAAATTTTTTTTTTGAATATTTTAGCCGAAAAATCCAAAAAGTTTTTTTTTAATTTCGACAAAATCGGAATATACCTATGTGGTAGCCCCTTCCCCCTCCTGTCCACATACTAAATTTGAGATCGATCATCGATACCTCTTTTTTGGCCAAGTTATAGCGAAAAACTGTTCAAAATTGATCACGTCAAATTTTCAAATTCAATTTTTAGGAATTCTAGACGTCGTAGCGCAAAACAAAGACCACCATTATACTCCCCGTGACGAGCTGCATCGAATCAATACCCAATTTATGCAAAACTATCAACTTTGAAATTTGACCTTTTTTTACCTGACCTTGACCTGACCTCCCCAAGAAAGTGACCTAAACCGTACCTGATGGTCTGATAACCAACACCATTGAGTTGTAAATGAAAATTGGCCATAAACATGCATCGCACAACCTTAGGAAAGTTGGGTTCATGTGCTGACCCTTGGTGACCTGACATGTGACCTGACCTGGTATTATCAGTGACCTCTAATAGCAAATATGTACTAGGCAACTGACGCTCTATCGCTGATTTTCGACAAAATGCGTTTTACTCGGTGTTATAGCGCATTCCCTAGAAGACCCGTGAACGGTGAAACATTTTATCTTTGACCTGACCTGTGACGTCATCGGTGACCCCGAAGTCAATGAAATTTGGTTTCTCTCGACAAATTTGACAGGGCTATCGAACACCGTTTGAATTTTGTGGACCCGTCCAGTAGTTTCGGAGATGTAAGGGGCAGAAAATTGCCCCCTCCCCCACCGCGCGGAAGGTGGCCGGGAGGCCCACCGCCTGCCGGGTTAAAAAGGGCGCCCATTTCCTTCACCCTTGGCGTCATTGAGATAGCCTCATTGTAAAATAACCCTCGCCGGCATGGGGGGGGTTAATGCAACCCGCCCCCCCCCCCCTAAGGTTTTTCGCGAATAACTCGCGTAAAAAGCGGCCGATCGCGACGGAACTTTCAGTACCCTCGCATTGATCAATTTTACACCTACCCTGAAAATTTCATGACCCTGACCCAAATGACATTTGACCTGTGACCTCTTTTCCGAGACCATGTTTGGCCGGAATCGCGATTCAGCGTATGTCGGCTTGCATTATCCGCGCGTTTGCAAGCTTTTCGTGGCTTCAAACGTTCAAACATGTGATTTGATGTTGGTCCCATGCATTAGGGTGGATGTCAAGGTCACCTGAAGGTCAGGTCAGGTCATTGACCTTTGGTGACCCTTTGGTGACTAGAGACGTCAATCGGATACCAACTTTTTGGTATACCGATACCATGGATGATTTTTTTGGTATTTTGTTGGTATTATGAATACTCGCTTATGTATAAGAGGCTGTGAATTTGGTAAAAAGTCGGTATTTCCCGAATATTCCTAAGTTGGTTCGGTTTCGGTATTTTCCCATGGTTTGGTTTGGTATTTGGTTTGGTATCGGTATCCTGATTTTCTGTAACTGACATCACTATTGGTGACCTCGGTTCACTTTTTCGACTTTTACATGTTTCTAGGCTAGTTTTTGGAGCTGATTTCGAATTTAGCAACCATTTGAACATTTACGAAGTAGTTTTGGTGCCTTCGTAACATGTTACGAAGCTGTCAGAGGCGGTTGACACGTACTACGAATACCCGTCACGACCCCTACCGGTTGACCTGACCTGACCTGACCCGACCTGGTCTAAATGCTTAAAGACATCATCTCTGATCATACTAACACGATATTCGTGATCAGCACCCCGGAATACCCCATAGCAGCCACACTTTATGACTTTCAAAGTCCCGATTTCCCCGATTTTCGGGTCATTGACCTGCGGCCAGTTTTACCAACAGAAAAATAGCCGCCTACCGGAATTTTTTGCCTAAAGACCGCTTCACATACGGATCGTAAACGGTAACGCCCTATCCGCTTACGTGCCCAGCGCGTTTACGATCTGTATGTGAAGCGGTCTTTAGACAAGCAATTCTGGCAGGCGGCTATTTTTCTGTTGGTAAAACTGGCCTCTGACCTTGAAGGTTACCCGATGACTTAGGACCTTAAAATTGGATTTCATCGGCTTCCTCTCGTGACGGGCAGCACGCTCGTTTTTTCCGCGAAGCTCTAGCTCGATCAGGGGCCAAACGCGAGGGGGGTCGTACCAACCACCCTTGTGCCGTCGAAGGACGCAAAATGGCCTGTGCCGGCGAGGGTAACTACCCGGCGTCAGTGGATTCAGAGGGGCGCCATCGATCTTAGATGAGGGCGGGGCGACTGTAGTCTCCATTCAGGTGGGCGCCAGTGGCTATTGAGGGGCGCCAGCGATCTCGGATTGGACGACTGTGATTGATCTGCAGAAGGGCGCCTGGTGCCTAGAGGGGTGCCAATTGAGCTTGGATGGGGTCACTGTTTCCTTCGGTAGGGCGCCCAACGCTCTAGAGGAGCGCCATTGAGCTTGGATGGGCCGACTTTAATCTCAAGTGGGCGCCATTGATCTCGGATGGTCCGACTGTGATATTCAAAGTGGCACCAGTGGTTTCAGAGGGGCGCCATCAATCTTGGATGGGGCGACTGAAGTCCCCGTTCAGGTGGGCGCCATGAGGGGTACTAGCGACCTTGGATGGGGCGACTGTGATCTTCAGAAGGGCGCTGAGGGGCGCCATTCGGCTTGGATGGGGCGACTGTAGTCTGGGATGGGGCGACTGTAGTCTGGGATGGGGCGACTGTAGTCTCAAGGAGCGTCTCGGATGGGGTGCCAGTGCTCTAGAGGGGCGCCATTGGTTTCAGATGGCTGCAATAGATCTTAGATGGGGCAGCTGTGGTCTCCGTTCAAGAAGGCGCCAGTGGCTTTTGATGGGCGCCGTCGACCCTGGGATTCGGAATACTCTGGTTTCTGGGGGGGGGGGGCGCCCTTCAGCATTGGGATTCAGGTTGTCGTTGGGGTGCTCTGGAGAATATTGTAATGTCCAGGCACCCCCAAAAAGATATTAAGTTCGATCCCTGCTTGCATTTCACTTTTTATTTCATGTTCCTTCTGTAACGGCATCAGCCTAGTTGGCGCTACTTGGGTCGCCATCTGGGCGGCTGGGCGAAAAGGGGGCCATGGCCCCTATGCCCCCCCCCCCCCCGTCTACGCCACTGGTAACCAGTAATATGAGTACAGAGTCACAGACTGGGCGTTCCCTCAGTACAGTTGACAGTTGACACTAACCTGGGTACAGACTGGGCGTTCCCGTAATGCAGCTGGCACTAACCTGGGCAGGGACTGGACGTTGTCGCAGTCCACTTGACACTCACCTGGACAGGGACTGGCCGTTCTCGGAGTCCACTTGACACTCACCTGGGCAGGGACTGGGCGTTCTCGGAGCCCATGTCTCCATAGACGGCCAGCCGGGGACTCCAGTCCACACCGGCGGCCATCGACGTGAAAAAGAACAGCTCCGACCACCCGGCGTCGCTGCCCACCTGATACACTGCGCGTGCAGAGACGGGGCACGACCCGTGTCAGAACCGGACCCACTGCCCCCCACTGCCGGATACATCCAGTCAGCAATCAACGATCGACAGCAGAAATAAGATCTATGGTCTGCTGGTCTGATGGGTTTCCATCTCTGACCTGAAGCCAGTATTACTATACCATGGATAAAATAATCCATCCATGGTTTTGCGTACCGAAAGTCGCTGCTGTGGTTGTTTTTAGCCACTAAGGTCGCCCATGAGTTTCACCAGGAACGCGAAAAAACAGCCGCCGACTTGTAAAAATATTAGCAAACTGAATTAATACATTTTAGCATCGGCAGTTACTTTTTCGCGTGGTTTATAAGTCTATACTTTCGGGGCGATTTTTCTGTCGGTGAAAATGGTCTCTGGTCCAGCAAAGATGATGAGCACGAGGTACATTTACCGAAGCGCGTCCCCGGCGCCGTGGGAGCTGGCCGCCGTGCCGTATATCCGGCTGGCGGCGCGCGACTGGCCACTGACCGTAGGTGGTGTTGGGCTGCAGGCCGGTCAGCGTGGCGCGGTGCACGTACTGCGCCCGCCGCAGCTCGCCGCCGTCCACGAACCGAGAGGCGGCGCCGACGGCGCGCGTGTCGGGCCGCCGCCGGCCGTAGTACACCTCCGAGCCAACCGGCTCGGACGTGCTCCACGTGACCACCATCTGCGACGGCTCCTCTGCCGGAGACGGGGAAACGTGACCACCATCTGCGACAGCTCCCCTGCCGAGACACGGGGAATGGGTCACGGCTCCCCTGCCAAGACACGGGGAATAGCTCACGGCTCCTCTGCCGGAGACGGGGAATAGCTCACGGCTCCTCTGCCGGAGACGGGGAATGGGTCACGGCTCCCCTGCCGAGACACGGGGAATGGGTGACGGCTCCCCTGCCGAGACACGGAGAATGGGTGACGGCTGCCCTGCCGAGACACGGAGAATGGGTCACGGCTCCCCTGCCAAGACACGGGGAATAGCTCACGGCTCCTCTGCCGGAGACGGGGAATGGGTCACGGCTCCCCTGCCGAGACACGGGGAATGGGTGACGGCTCCCCTGCCGAGACACGGAGAATGGGTCACGGCTCCCCTGCCAAGACACGGGGAATAGCTCACGGCTCCTCTGCCGGAGACGGGGAATGGGTCACGGCTCCCCTGCCGAGACACGGGGAATGGGTGACGGCTCCCCTGCCGAGACACGGAGAATGGGTGACGGCTCCCCTGCCAAGACACGGTAAATGGGTGACGGCCGCCCTGCCGAGACACGGGGTATGGGTGACGGCTGCCCTGCCGAGACACGGGAAATGGGTGACGGCTCCTTGAGGCACGGGGAATAGCTCACGGCTCTTCTGCCGAGACACGGGGGAATGGGTGACCGCTCCTCTGCCCACACACAGGGCACAGCTCCTCTGCCCAGACAAATACAGGGGCAATAGTGTGCAGCATTTAACCTTCCCGGTGGTGGGGGGGGGGCATTTTTTGCCCCCCCCCCCTAGTTTTTTCGATATATCTCCAGAACCGCCGCGCCGATCGTCACCAAACTTTCAGTACCCTCCTGTGAATAGCATTTACTCTTGGTGACCAAATTTTTTTTCCAAAGGCTATGATAGGTTGGCGGCTAATGACGTCGGAGTGACGTCATTTCAGCCATTTTCGACCCCAAAAAGGCTTCGCGAGAAGAGCTGTCAGGCCTAGAGCTTTACAGATACAGAAAAATGTTTTAGACAAAAAAGGTGTAGAATTAACACTTCAGGGCTACAAAACGTTGTTATCTCGGATTTTGAATTTTTTTTGATTTTGACAGAAAAAATAGATTTTTTTAAATATTATAGCCGAAAATCCAAAAAGTTTTTTGAATTTCGAAAAAAAAAAACGGAATATATGTGATAGTCCCTGCCGCCTTCTATCTACATACCAAATTTGAGATCGATATCTTTTTTTGGCCAAGTTATAGAAAAAAAAACTTCAAAATAAATGACGTCAAATCTTCAAATTCTATTTTTAGTAATTCTAGACCACGTAGCGCAAAATAAAGACCACCATTAGACTCCCCGTGACGAACTGCATCGATTCGATACCTATTTTATGCAAAATTATCAACTTTGAAATTTGACCTTTTTGACCTGACCTTGATCTGACTTCCACCAGAGAGTGACCTAAACCGTACCTGATGGTCTTATAACCAACACCATTAAAATGGAAATGAAAAATTGGCCATAAAACATGCATCGCACACCCTTAGTAAAGTTGGGTTCATGTGCTGACCCTTGATGACCTGACCTGTGACCTGACCTGGTATTATCAGTGACCACTAATACAAAATGTGTTTTACTCGATGTTATAGCGCATTCCCTAAAAGACCCGTGAACGGTGAAATATTTTATCTTTGACCTGACCTGTGACGTCATCGGCAACCCCGAGGTCAATGAAATTTGGTTTCCTTCGACAAATTTTACAGGGCTATCAAACGCCGTTTGAATTTTACGGATCCGTCCAATAGTTTCGGAGATACGGGAGGCAAGACAATGCCCCCCCCCCACCGCGTGGAAGGTGTCCGGGAGGCCCACCGCCTGCCGGGTTAAACCGAGCCAGGGTGGCATAGGCGGCGAAACGATTTGAGACAAGGGGGATATCGGTTCGAAGGGTCAAGCCTAAGGTACCCCGAAATCATGTTTTCTCATCAGATTTAGGCTAATTATTTTTCGTCACAGCCCTCGCTGTTTTTTTTTTACAAAAAAAGAGAAATATTATAACTACAAACTAATATGTATTAGTTTGTAGACATTAACTTTGCTTCGCCATACGTTAAAAAAAAAACATCGAAAACAAAAACACCCAATCTTTATGCTCTTCAGCTGATGGGCTCGGAAAAGTGAACCAAGGTTATCTAAAGCCAATGACCTTGACCTGATCTTCATTTGGCCTTGACTCAGGCCACGGTCAAGGGTCGTGGGGGGGTCAGGGTCATGTTATTTTCAAGGTATGTGTTAAATTGATTATCTCGAGAATACTAAAAGGTTCGCCATGATTGGGCACTTTTACGAGAGTTATTTTCTAATAATAATATAGGAAAAACCAGCAACCTCATAACATAAATCAGAAATAGGAGCCAAAAAGTTACACTTAAAATGATCGAATATTTTGCTCCTGGAGCTTCATCAGCGATAATGACAGAAAAGAAACTTGATGACCAGCTTTTTAAGAGAGTTACTTCCAAAAAACCGAGGGATGGGTCTATCCAAGCCTGTGACGGGGGTCAAGCCTAAGGTACCTACCCCGAAATTATGTTTTCTCATCAGATTTAGGCTACTTATTTTTGTGTAGGTGTCCCACCACCTCTTAAGTCAATAACATTTTTAACGATTCTTCGTACCGGGTATCGTAAAAGGGACCAATTACTTTAAAGGGACTATCCCACCTTTAACATGGGGTTTGAGAATTGAGATAGCCAAGTTTGCGGCGAGGTTCAGAAACCACTATCTATCTACAGGGTGTCCCATAAGTTCGTTCTCACATTATGTTTGCATGTGAAACAGAGTACATTGCGTTTTGGTATATTTATGACCCCTCAATGTGCTCCCCATTTAATAGGCAAACACATGAATGCATGCTGCGGCATGCCAACCGGCATGTTTGGCTGCATAGCAGGCTTAAAGTTAACCCAGACTGACTTGACATGCGCCGTGAGCTCCTCGAGGCTGGAACAGCGCTACGCTTCGACGAGCCTCAACTTCAGCATAACCAACAAATTTTTATGAAATTTTGATCCGATGAGGTGCCTGGCATGTGATCTTGCCACAAACGCCTGTCACAGTCTCCTTGCACCGCTTTTAAGCTTTGCTTGACCTGTGCACTGATGCACTGTCTTGCCTGAAGATGGGCCTACGACCTCCCGGATGCCATTTTCTCCTCTATAAATGTGTTCATACTCGCGGTTCGAGTTCAGCTTTAGGGCTGAAATTCCTCCTAGATGTTCTTGGAAAAGCATTCTGCTTCCCAAAACTGTTTCTGGGTTGCCACTTGTAACTTGATCAACTCCAGAACGCCTACAGGGTGTTTCACTAAAAGTGTCAAAAAGAAAATGCTTATTAAAGATATATAAAATACGCAAAGCACGTGGTTGCGCACGTGGCTTTGTTGCAAATTTTTGGACATTTATGCTTTGGCCACTTAAGATATATTTTACACTCATACGGAGCGAGGGCAGGAGGCCAAAGTTACTAGTCGTTTTTTTCCTTATACAGAACAAGAACAGGTTATTTACACCGCAACGGGAGCGGTGGATTACACTTACATTTGGTGCTATCAGAAGCATTGAAACCGTACGCCGACTTTTCAGGAAACGTTTCACTCTCTCACCTCGCTACGACCCAGATTATAAAAGTTTCAAAAGGCTTCTTGAGAGGTTTAAAAGGGTTCCTTTGATGCCGGTTCCAGTCCAAAAAAAGGCGGGTCGCCCCCACCTCTCGGCGGAAATCGTTGAAAAGGTCAGGGTCTTTTTTAGGGCCTTTTAAGATAACAAGAAGCTTATTTCAACATCAGAAATAGCCAAGCCCCCAATTTATCAGAAACAACCACTGTAACGGCTGTAGCCACCAAGAACTGGCTGGACCAGAAGTTCCGTTCCCGGGCCGAATAATCAGCTGCCTCACCGCCCGCCCCTGGCCAGCGCGAGGCCCCGATCTGTCACCGCTAGCCTTCTGGTTTTGGTCAGTAGCTCTCGCAGAGCTGAGGAAGACTTAAGTCGCATCACTTTTGGAGCTGAAGAGCACAATGCAAGGCTTTGCCGACAGTCTGGACGCTGAAGATGAAAACGGGCTGTGAGGCACCTCCGGACACGTGCCGAAACGGTGCATCAAAAGAAGCGGCGGATATGTGGAATAGGTTTGAGTGACGGTGATATCATTTTTATATATTCAAATGTCCAACAATCGCGGATGGAATGATGTGCAAATGTCCATAGAAAACATTGTTATTATGTGCATAAGGGCCTTTTACTTTTTGACACTTTTAGTGAAACACCCTGTATAACCCCACAACACAGTGACCCTGGCCTTTTGCATAGGAACATAACGGGACGAAATGAAGGCCTCCTCCTTCGCCCTTATGGGGTTGTTTTCGGGTTTGGACGGGTGTTTCATCTCGAACGTGGACTAGTTAGTCCAGATGACCTGGTTGATGTCATCAGCCCTCTAGTTTTGTTTAGCCTCAGGCATAACGAAACTCATGTTTGGCCATTTTAAGACATTTTTGACTGTTTTGTGCCCTCCGGTAAGCAAAGCTTAAGTCACCTTGAGTTATGTACCCCGAAAGAACACTCTTAGACAGCTGGTAATCCATCCTGAAAAGTCTGTTTACCAACTTTCTAACCCTTTGACCTTTTTGATTGCCACTTTGGCGCCACACAGTTTTGGCCACTTGGCTCATTCCTGAGGGCTGGCTAGAAAGAGGATAAACTTGCAGTGATTGACTCCCAACAAATCATCGGCGTCACTTGCTGACTGTGCGTCCAGTTAGCGATGGATATTGGCTACAGACTGGTAGGCCTCAATCACCCTCAATCGTCGCGAATGGTCACGTGCTGACTAAATACTGAGACGTACCCGTATCGGAGACCTCTATGTTGCGGCGTTAGCCGTCTCTGTAGAAAGCGGGCTCTCTAGGAAAAACTTTTTTGTCTACAGAA